ACATGCAACTACCAAATTTAAATTAAAGTGTAAACTATAACGTAAATTTTAGCAGCACATCTAGTTTACTCTGCTTCAGTCTTAAACTGTTTAAAAAAATGACTAATAGTATTAAAGTGCAGTAAATTTCAGTTCAAACTTAAATGGAACAAATAAAACAAAATCTCAGAAGAACCAGAGGGAAAAATAAAATGCTTTTACAAAAAATGGTATTGGTTAAGAGTATCGGCCGGCTTTTACGAGTACGAGTATGAGTACTTGATGCTGATATCAGACCCGATACCGATACTGGTATCGGTATCGGGACACCCCTAATTGTAACCAAGTGTAATGTTATTTAAAAAGCTTAAATTCTCCTTATTAATGTTACATGCATTTTTACTGTACATGGATAAAATATTCTCAAAGCGTGTGAGAAAATGAAGCCATTGTTCGCCAGTTGGAAGATATTTTTTGCAAAATTGTTCAAGTCTTTTAAAGAAGAGAAGAAGACTTCTGTAAGATCAATTCATGCTGGACTTTACTGTTTGACTCATTAGCCCCTCTAGCATTTGGGCATGGAACTGCACCCACCATCATTGCTCTCAGCCAAAGGACAGATGAGTGTCAGGACAGGGGCACTTCAGGGGGCCAATCAGATTTCAGCAGGGGCCAATGCCCCTGTGGCCCCACCTCTAGAACCGCCCCTGATCTGCATGTTGAACAGTGCAAAACAAAATAGATTTGAATCCTCTTTTGGAAAAGATCAYAGGGAGGAAGCCATACTTATAGGGTGACAAAACATTCAATTAAAATTTATCTGGAGTACTTTTTTGTTAAGCAAAAACAAAGAAGGAAAAAAGGAATTGCTTTTAGAAACATTAGATCCAGAACATAAAGTTAGCCATCAGTCCTTTTTTTTTTTTCGCAGAAATCAGTTTTAGTTGTCAAAGAAAAATCAGTTTGGCACAATTGCACTGAAGTCTGAGCCAAGAATTAGAGGAAAACAGATGGRTTGGTGACTTGCGTCTATGACTGTAGACAAGAAAGGGACCTCAGATGATGATCTTACGCTTGAATGAACCCATTACCTAATGAGAGAAAATGCTCATCATGAAGATCCAGTTGTTTGTGGCCAATGTTTTGTGACTTGAATAAAAAGAGTGTACAAAACCAGATTTATGTAAGTTTACTGACAATGAACATTTGTAATTAAGTCAAACATGATCCAGCAGTTTGTGTCTCATACTTATTTAATGCTTCCCAATGGCCACATAGTTCAGATGAGCTGAGTGTTTACCTGACAGATCTAACAACTATCACGTCAAAAAGTTTGGCTATACCTCAATGTGGTCAGCTTTTTCTGTGGTTGAATGRGCTTCAACCACAGCCTTGGAGCAGTCTGGATAAACAGTTTATGTCAGCACTTACACACCCACAGTCAATAACAACTTTCCACCTACATTATCTCTGTTTCAGAAACAGAAAAGGCGCCAATGTCAAGCTGGTGTTCCCTAATCTCTCCTTTTAGGGCTTTACAATAAAAGAGAGTGTTACGGACCCTGACCACTAGAGGCTGTGCAGTCTCTTTCACTGTTTATGCAGATTCAGGTGTGGGAGCACACTCGGCTGATTGGCTGTTTGGAGGCTGACTGGAAACAACACCATTGGACCAGAAGGAGATCACAAGCCAATCTGATGATGATGATGATGATGATGATGATGAGGCCCAGCTGTGCTCTATGAAAGGCTCCCAGAATCATTACCTCTTGGGGCAGCTTTAGGTTTTGTTTGTGTACAGCTGACCCCCACATAGGTTTTTGGTTGTGTTTGTTTGTAGCCAGTTTTGGACAGTTAAAGAGCTCTTGGTACAACTAACATAGTTTGTTTTTAATGAGCTTTAGGTGCTGCAAACATGTTTTGTTTTGACTAACAGTGATTTAATAAGTCTGACCAACTGACTTCTTTAGTACTTTAAAGGTTTGTGTTTGGAGGCATTTTGAAGCTCCATTAAAGTACCTGTAGTTTTATTTGGGTTTGTTTTTAAGTCTGGTTTAGACTGACTTTTGGTTATTTATGTACTTGGCCCAATCTAYTTTCGTTATCTTTGTTAAATCAAGTTTGTTAAACATTTTAATTGGGCAGCAGTGTATTTTGTAAACCTTTTTTTTTACAAACCCATTTTCTCTGGACACGTTTTATGTTGCCACCCCGAATCTCCTAGACTTGGGGTCGTAACATAAGTGGGGGCTCGTCTGGGATTTGAACCTGGGACCTCTCGCACCCGAAGCGAGAATCATACTCCTAGAGACTGCACAGCCTCTAATGGTCAGGGGCCGTAATTGAGAGATAAAAAAATAATTAATTGCTTCATTTTTTTTTACATTTATTGTTAGTATTTAAAAACTATTGCATGCTAATGAACTGTATTTACTTGTCATCATTGGTAATTAATTATATCTACACAGAATATTTGTGCAATGTTACTCAAGGGTGGTGTCATGGAGAACAAACYGCATAAATTCACTGCAGTATTGCAATCAGATTTTATTTCTCCATTTTGTAATTCATAAGCTCATAAAATGAAATGAAAAACATGTCATATTAGGTTAACAAATGTTAAAATGCTTCACAGATCATACTTTCAAAATTACAACCAGAACTGTGGCTCAGAAAGGAGGAGTGCTTGGCTGTCAATCGGAGAGTGGGTGGTATGATCCTGGCTTCCCCCACCATATGCCAAAGCATCATTGGGCAAGATATTAAACCCCAAGTAGCCCCCAATCTGTACACTGGTGTGTGAGTGTGTGTGCGTGTGTAGAGTAAAAGCACACTGAGTGGTCAGAGAGACTTGATAAGTGCAGTACAAATACTATAAAAAACTTTATTATAACAAAACAAAAAATAAAATCTAAATTAAGTGTCTAATATTTCACCTTTACCCAGATGTCATTATTCAGCATCCAATGTGTTGCGAGTTTKTCCATTCACACACTTCCCATTATCCATACAGTATATGACTGTACATGCACTCTACATTTACAGTGCTTTTGACAGACATATACTGACGAGCATTTTGGGTTAAGTGCATTTCTTAAGGACTCTTTAAATGGCTGTGCATCAAACCACTTTTCCTCTAACTGGAAGAGAACCATTTTAGCACCTAAACCACAGTCACTTAATTATTCTAAAAGTATGTCACTGACTTTTTAACACCTTTATCTGAGAGTGTTAGTCTAATCTTTGCGTGGTGAAGCTTCAACCTCACGATTTTTTTTTCATACTGGCAGTGCTTTTATAATTTCTACAAATAATTTTCAGTGGATTTCACATCCAAGTACTGAAAATGGGCAGTTAAAAACATGCACAAATCAGCAACCAAACTAAACCATGGCTGGATTGAGATTTACTGTAGATGAATAGCTTGTTATTTTAAAAAGCCACTGTCGGCTCTTACTGCTCCTTATGCTGCTCAATGCATCTGCTACATAATGTTACCCAACATCCAAGTGGTCTTATTGTTCCAGCAAAGACTTGGATAAATATTTCTAAATGRCATTAAAAATATCTTGAGACCAGAAGTTGATTTTTGCCTTGTAAACAAAACCGAGTAATACTGATGACATATGTACCACATCACATATTTAAAATTTGTTTACATTTTAAAAAGAAAACCCTCATAAATATCTTTGTTTCATAATACAATAGTAAATCTATACCTCAGTGCTTTTCTGGAAATTAGTATAAGATTTAGCTTTGAGTCCAACTCAGCTACCTTCGAGTGTCCACTGGCTCATTATCTCTTTCTGACTGTAAATCAGATGTACTGTAATCATGTCAAAACTTTGTTTGATGTCTTGTTATTTAGGATGCAGTAAATAAAATTAATTAAAAATATATATTTTTTATGCTGTGTGTTTTCACAACGATCTGGGCCAGAGCTTTTATGCAGGTGTGTGAAACAGAGCAATTCTGGGTCAAACAGACATGTAGGCAAGGTTTGGATCAACAGGTTTTTTAATGTCTAATAGGTTTTATATAAGCGTTTAACCATGGTTTGTTTAAAAAGAAAGAAATGACAAGTCACATGCTTTCAAACTCAGGTGTCTCATGTGAAAACTCACTGCAGTTTTCATCAAACCATCAAACCAATGTGTCAGTGTGGTTCAGATTTTGTTCCTCCATTTCATAGCATAATCAGGTGTAAAATATGATAGGTTAATTCAAACTGACAGGCTAAAATAATACTTTTCAAAAGGATAACCAACCTGTCCAAGCTGTGTGTCCAAAATTTTCACAAAAATAATTATTAACACCAATGTCGTTATCTTTTTTGTTTGCTTTGTTTTTAATTTTTTTCTAGGTTAAACAAATAAAACTGATTAAAAGTGAGCTGAGGAGACACTTGTTTGGTCTCCTTTTTAAGTTTTCGTTTGTCCTCAAAATGAACAGTGCATGTTTGTGTCATCTCTGTGTTTTGATTGGGCTACTGCAACAATTAGAAAATCCTGAATTCACTTTTGTCATTGGTTGGTGTGACCCTTTTTTTTGAGATTTTGGATTGTTCTTTTGATTGTAGCTGATGTTTTTTAAGCAATTGCTGTTTGAAAAAAATTTGATGCAGAGCTCTTCATTCACTTAAAAATGTTTTTAATTAACCATAAAAACATCACTTTGACAAACTTACTTATCTCACTCAAGCATTTTTTTTTATTTAAAGCAAAACAAATGGTTTAATGTTTTAAAAATGTGAGATTATTTCCCTCTATGACATTTTCATTGCATTTATTAAGCTTAAACATTTTGTCTAAGTTATATTTTTGTGTTTGTTACAGACAACGCCTCCCTCATGGACGTCCTTGGACTGATGTGGATTGTGCTTGTTGTCACAGTTACTGTGGAACTGACGTGAAACCTGAACTTCAAGACACTCTCTTTCACAAATATAGTTCCTACAGTACAAAACATCTGCGTATGCACACAAACATACAAACATATAGTACAAAAAACTTTCCACTGTCCTGAAAGCCTTCTCCAGTCATAAACAGGTTCTCCATATGTCACTGAAACAGGAAACGGTGACATCATGTGATGGTAATTCTCTGTTTTTTTTTTCTTTTGGTTAGTTTTTTTTTAACAAAATATAATCAAGATTATARAAAAAAGAACAATGTGATGAACATGACAGTAACCTCCTATATAGCCCTYCCCTATTACCTTTTTTTTTTCTTTGTCCTACATCTGCCTGTTGATAAATAAAACCAATTCTTTTTGAAATAGAAAAAAAAAGACAAAAAAATTTGGACTTTAATTTTTTAATGAGTCATAATGTTATTGGTGTTTAGTGAAATGTGAAATATGGAACTGGCTTTGACTGCACCACTTTATCAACCACTCCCATCTGTTCCACGTCCTGGGATGAACTGGATTAGCAACAAGCTGATAAACCATTGGAGGACAAAGCTACAGATGTTCCAAGGGAACCTTTTTTAAATATATAAATATATATATATAAATTAAAATTAATTTTGTTTTCTGATGGCTCGGAATGTACAAGAAGATTCAAATGCATCGAGAAACCTGGAAAAAAATCTCATTTTTGAGTGTATTTTGTGTACAACAGTGTAAATATTGAAAAATAATTAAAAAGGATATATGGGTTATGGTAAGGGATGGTTGCTGAAATCATTGGAGTTTATGCTTCTCCACCTTTGTACATCATGCAACTCTGTTTTCAGAGATTTAAAGAAAAGAAACAGCTTTTCTGTTTATTGCTTAAGTTATTTTTCCTTTTTTTATTTTACAAGGCAATTCTTCAAGGACAAAGTAAAAAAAAACTAACATGTGTCTGCTGTTTTGGGGTTGTGGTGCATGTGACGTTTGAAGATTCTTTCTCCCTTTCATGTGTTGCAACTGACAGCACTGCAACTCCATGTCACTGGCCTGTAATCCAGCTATTTTACCTGTGACCTACATTGTGTACAATGCTTAACTCTCTTCCTCAGACATTACCAGTAAGTAGGCTCATTTTAGCGATCATTCCATTGGGGAACTCACCTGAGGCAGCTTGTGTAAACAGGGTTGTTGCATTTGTTTATCTTCACCTGTATTAAAATGGACAGATGATAAAAACTCACGAGCCTTGAGTTTACTTGTAGCAGTTTTGAACAGTGTTTGACATGTTCATGCATCTCGTGATCTGTAGTTCTCGATATGCATAATAAGCAGAACATTACACACACATTCAAGGTTACAGTAATAATTTATGACCTAATTTGAATGATTTTTGCAAATCAGAGAAATGCATGAAGGCGGTTGATCAATTGCTCGTTTAATTCATGCTTAAAATATCCTTCAAAATGGGCATTTTTCCACATATTTTTACAATTGACCTCAATTTATCTTTTTATTTAATAGTCTCACTTTGTTGTTGTCTCATTGCAGTTTATACACTTTCAGTAAAGTGGCGCTTAACTTATTTTTTTAAGTAAAGTGGCGCTTAACTTATAATAATCTTGCTTTTTTTAAGTCACGTGGATTGAAATTGTAACTATTTTGAGGATATGCTGCATGGGGATTAAAATTTAAGCCAAGAGGAACTCCGGAAGCTTTTTAAAATGCAGCTGAATGAAAAAGACAGAGACATCAGTTTGTCAGACTTAAGTCTTTTAGAAGATAAGCACAAACACAATTAATAAGCACATGAACTTTAACGTAGATTACTCTTGTTTAGGTCAGATTATGAAAGGGCACAAATACTTGTCTATTGTAAATCATTACAGKCAAGTTGTTGTTTTATTTTCGGTGTGCAATTACGTATCTGCTTTTACATTTATCTCACTTCACGTACAAGGGTGGAAAGTCAACTCAAGTTTTCAGAGCATCAGAATATGCAAAATGTCTCATGACTTGATCATCTCACCAGAAGAAGTGTGTTTGTGTGAGTGGATATTAGTGCTGTATTATAGTTGTCTAAACCCTCATGTATCTCAACAATCAAAAAGGTAGATTCAATAGGTAATAAACGTATAAGACTTTTAAATATGTTGTTTTATTATATTTTCTCCCAACCCAAAACAAAGACCATCAAGTAGGCTTATTTATATCAATGACTTATAGCAATTTTGAGTTCATTTAATTTTCTGCTGCTAAACCTTTTGTGTTTTATTTCTACAAAACAAACAAAAAATGCATTACTTTATGTGTCACAGTACCTTTTTAATTTATGTATTTGCTGTAGGAAAACATGAAAACAGTCAATAAAAATGTAACTTGTGCCTTTCCTAAATTAACTTGCACAAGTAAAAGAAGTTTATAAACGTACAAAGTTGACACTCGTTGTTTTGAAGACATATTGAGCTTAAGAAGCTGCCCTCACGATCAAATCGTGAATTATTTAGAGGTCAGTGGTGCTTGCAGAATCCGGTTTCGTTTTTGCTGTCAGCAGGCCGAGGTATCACATGACCCAACTGCGTCCACATCAAACCAGACACCTGACACACCCTTTGAACAAGTCTCCACCTCGTGCATCTTGACACCGCTCGACGGGGTGCTGTTAAAATAAACACTGTTTTGTTGGTGATTGTAGTCCTGCTCTTGTATGTTTTCAGCTTCACAAATGACAGCTTGACAACGGCGACAGTGGGGAGTGACAGGTTTCCAGTACAAGAGAAATACACGTTTGCATCTAGWATACGTGAATGACACTGTCAGCTTTTCAGTTAGAAAATTCTTTTCCATTGTGTTGCCGTTCTGATGGTCATCTGACAGTTCTTTATTTTGCATTGCTAGTGGCACATTTTTCTGGTGGGAACTTTGGTTTCTTTTTAGAGACAATGCATTTCAGCATTTTTATTTGCCCCGAAAAAGACCTTTGATATGTGCACTGGTTGTGTAAATAAAGGCATCCTGGTTAGTATTTGATAAATGTCACCTGTCTTCAGTCTCCGCCCCTTATTCAAACCACACGTCTACAGATCTAAATGTGGGTGAGATCCTGTAAGGAAAGGATTASCTAGAATTATATTTGTGAATTTTCCCCGGATTCATAATAAAATGAGATACAACCAAATTACCCTCTTTTATGTAACCACATTGCAAAAGGTGCTACCAGCTCAGAAAAGAACAACTTTGACTTTGTCAAAGAAATTATTGGCCTGAGTGAGTGGATGACACACTTACATTCATGAGGGYAAAAAAGGGAGAGTTAGTAAAGCAAATATTGATCTATTGGTATTTACACTGCCTGCGTATGGTTACTGAGGCTGCATTTGACTTGCCACAGGTGATGCATGAAAAAGTGCTCCGCCTCTGCAGAGAATGGGATGTAAATAGCAAAGCRAGGGCTATCATTTTACACTTGATCCTTTGGGCAGAGGTGTAGTCATCAGATCACAGCAGCTCTTTCACTATGAAAACCAGACAGCTCCAGTCAGCTGAGGTGCGCTGACAATATAATTTCAAAGGATCAGTCAACTAGCTTTTGCTGCCATTTTTATTTCTCAGCTATGCCTATTGCAGAACTTTTGGGAGTCCAGTTTGACATGCAGCTGCTGTTGAAACTGGGTGTTTCTGTGGCTACAGTGCTGCTCCTGTCTTGGGCCTACAGGTTCTACAGCTCCAGGAATGGGAGGGAAATACAACCCTGTGGCAAAGAAATACAAAAACATGCATGCCAAAACTGCAAGAAGACACTACAGCATCAAAGCTTACAAGAACAAGACAAGGATGATGAGGACAAGCGAGGCTCGGCTACAGACTTGACATCTGACAGCAACAAGCAAATAATTGCAGAAACTCTAGGCCAAGCTGAACGGAGTGAGAAGGCATGTGTTTCTAAAAGTGATGAAGATAAACATGTGGAAGAGGAAATACTACTTCATCAGAATCAGCCAATGGATTCCAACGACAATATTTCACTTAGATCTGCTTTGAGCCTTCATGATCCAAGAGAAAATAAGATGGCCACTCCAAAAGGACGCCGTTCCCCGTGCTTTTTGAAGCTGGAGAGCGGTGTTGGTGTGGGCAGAGAGTTAAGGCAGGACTTGGAACACCAGGGGGTCTACTCCAGCTTCCTCTCAAAGGCAGAAATAAAAGTGGAAGATGCTAAAGTACTGCTGGAAGGATCAGAAGACCAGATCGTGCATGGAAAGATTTATGATTACTATGTGGAGTCTTCTTCTCTTTCAATTACAGATTCAAAGAATTTGCCAGGTCAGTATGAGAGGAACATTGAATCAAAGCTGGAGTTTGGAAACCATAACAGCAGCCCCACTGAATTGCCTTCCTCTTTAAGCCCTATCATTATGCGTGATCTGGTTTCTCAACAAAGCACAATTGAGGATGCCTCCTTGGAAGGAAGCCTCAGGCTGAGACGCCCTGCAAGGACTACCCTCTTACGCAAGGAAAGCTATCTTTCTGCAGCAGAAGAGTCGGCGCTTTCTATCCCATTTCAGATTCCAAGAACCTCATCTCCAGTGACTCACTCGACAGCATCAATAAGTGACAGGATTATCTCTCTGCAAACTTCGACAGATAGCAATGAGCAGAAAATTAAGGAGACTAATTCAGAGACAACAGCAGGGGCTCAGTTCTTACACCTGGCAGGAGACATTTGCTCTGGTACTGATCTTGAAATTTTAAAACATAAAATTGATTTAGGTAACTGTTTAGAGGTACTTTATCTAGCCAAGAAAAATGGCCAGATGTCTGTACAGCAAGCAGCCTTAGGGGTCATGTCAGACAACTACCTGCAGGTGCTCCGGGACCCCAACCTTTATGGACGGCTAATGGCTAATGAGCGAGAACAAATTTGGAAGCAGAGAATGAGAGGAAGACAATTTGTCATTGTTGCAGATATGAACCCTGAAGACTTGTTGAGAAGCGCAGAGGGGCAGAGAGCAAACGCAGAACAGAGGAGCACATCCAGTGCAATGTACTATTATGACGACTACAAAGACTCCTGGCATCCTCTCTGCCTGATCCCGCAGGAGGTCGTCTCAAAAGCTTGCGCTGTGTGTACAATGGATAACTACTTGTTCGTGGCAGTGGGCTGCCAAGTCAAAGACAGAGAAGTGACACCCTCAAAGAGAGTGTTTTGCTACAATCCTTTGACATCCATTTGGAAAGAGATCAGTCCCATGAATGAAGCCAGGCCTCGCTGCAAACTGGCAGCACTGGATGGATATCTATATGCTATTGGCGGGGAGTGCCTTTCCTCAGTAGAACGCTACGATCCACGACTGGACAGGTGGACATTTGTGGCTCCGCTGCCAAACGATACATTTGCTGTTGCACATCGTGTCACAGTGTGCAGTGGAGAACTTTTTGTTTCTGGAGGTACTCTTAGGTATATGCTACTACGCTACAACCCTAAAACTAACACCTGGAGGCCAAGTCTAATGGTGGGCAGCAACGACCGAACCACAGACATGGTTGCCGTAGGAAGATTTCTCTATCGGTTCGATGTTAACCCTCTGCTGGGCCTCAGCGTGTACCGCTACCACACAGTCGCACGCCTATGGTACGAATGCAGTTCCAAACAAATGCATCATTGCCCCACCTTCCACTGTGTGCCCTTGGATGGCACAATCTACTGCATCAGTCGGCATTTCACCATGAAGTTTGAAGCCGATGAGATCTCACCTGGTTTTGCAGATGAGGAGTTGAATGTCCTCTCTGCAGCCAAGGGCATACTGTTTCCCTTTGTCCTTTCTCTATCTGATCAATGTCCTCGACAGACAAGTGTGTAAAAAAGTCCCGTTTTACTCATTGATAAGATTAGAACGTTACTGAGTATTTCTAGAGCATACTGTACATCCAGTTTGAAATTGAGTGACTTTTTATTCTCTTGCTTAGCTCAGCCCAATGTCAAACATTAATGCACATTTTTTATTTCATTGTTTGAGATGTTGATGATGTACCCTCTCCAAAGCCATAAATACTAGTTTTATAAATAATACTATAATGCACAAAGAGATGTGTGTTTCATACGCCACATCCTTGACAATAGATATAAAGAATTAGACTGTTAATGGTAGTCATTTTCCTGTTTGCTTGTTGTTGTTGTTGTTGTTGTTGTTGTTGTTGTTTTTTCTGGGACTGCTGCCATGCTAATTCTTTGCTGCTTTGATTTGCCACTCTTTACTTCCATTGTGGTGGTTTTATGTCCTCCCAGATGCCTAACCTCTTCACTGCAAAAGATAATTCATAAATAATTTCAGAGTAAATGAGTTCATTCAGATCTCATATTCAGTGCTTGAGCAACATAGTAATAATCTATCATTGCACTCCTTTGTGTAGGGCATTAATATAACTTACGCAGCAGCTTAGTTAGAAGGCCATTATCTAAACTTGCTCTTTAAACAATGACAGGGTGTAAATGAGTATGCCATACAATATAAATTGTTAGGTTTCTAAAGCATTTGTTACTAAGTTCGAAACTCTCTGGGCTACGGATTTGCTTTTGTTGTTCTCTTTTTTTGTTATTTTTCTTTGTTTTTTTTGTTGTCCTTTAATAGTAATAAAAACAAATGCAAATGTTTTAATCATGATTGAGTTGATTGATCCTTGTACCAAACAAAAATATGTCCTTTGTAGTCTTCTGTTCTGAAAACATCAAATAAAAATACAATTGTATCTTTTGTTTTTTACAAACCCACACTTACTGGTAATTGATATTTGAAATATATACATATATTTATTTGCCTTACAAGCAACAAGAAAAAGATAATGGTTTGGATACTTTTAATTATGTGAACATGAAACAGATAAAAATAATTTTATCAATGTGTATTATATTACAGACATTGAAATGTTGCTATAGCGCCATCGTGTGGTCCAGAAGGCAAACACAACAGTAGTCTGGGCAAGAGGTTCTAAAGGTGTAGCATACACAGGTAAGTGTCTTGTGACACAGGCAGCAGCACAGTGGAGTGACTAATCGGCTAACAGAGGGTGAAACAGAACAGCACAGGAAGGCAGCAGGGGTGCGGTAAAAAAGCAAAGCAGACACAGATGGCTGACCATCAAACATAAGCATCTTTGATTCCTTCTAATTAAACCCTTTGATTCCTTGTAATTAAACACCTAATGGAACGAGCGTTAGACATGTCTCCTGAGACGCTGCCTTTGTTCATTCATGGGCCTTAGTTTGTCAGCCGAGGTCAGACGTAACATTAAAATGTTTTCTAGTTTCTTTGTTAAATGTTTTACTGTTATTTCTGTTCACTTTTCTGTTTTCTTACATGATTTATTGTAATCACCCTAGCCTTCTCTGAGATTTACTTTGTGGGGAAATGTTCTTTTACATGCTTGAACGGAAACACAACGTTCCAAAGAAGCATGACAGTGTACCACCTAAAATATACATACATACATACATACATACATACATACATACATACATACATACATACATACATACATACATACATACATACATACATACATACATACATA